TTATTCTACAAAATCAGAGCCTGCTTGCTTTTGAGGGTTTGGAGTCCAAAAAGCTCTTCTAGTAAAGGATGTGCACTAGGTTCAGCCAAGCCCTTGGGTGTCTTTAGCTTTCTTCAGTAGCTGTTCAAAGATGTTTTGGAATAATTGTTCTTAGTTTCTCCCTTTTGTATGCTTGGTCTTTGAATTTGAAAGGGTTTTGATTTTGTAGGAGTTGCATTAGTGTCCATTGTCATGAACTCTTGATTTTGTAGTGTATCAAGTTGTAAGCTATGAGGATGTGCTTCATGGTAGGGTGGTTTTCCAGCTTCTATTCTACAAAATTAGAGCCTGATTGCTTTTGAGGGTTTGGAGTCCAAAAAGCTCTTCTAGCAAAGGATGTGCACTAGGTTCAGCCAAGCCCTTGGGTGTCTTTTGCATTCTTTGGTATTCTTTAGTGGTGGTGTCTGTTGGACAGGGGCTGTTCAAAGATGTTTTGGAATAATTGTTCTTCTTGGTTTTTATATTTAGAAGGGATTTTGATTGTGTAGGAATACATTAGTGTCCATTGTTAGGATATTTTGATTGTGTAGTGTATCAGATTCGTAACTCTATCGGGGTATGCATCTTAGAATAATACTTCCAAGCAGTAGTCTTGTTTTTTTCTTCAGAGTACAATTGCCCATATTGTAGTGCACTATTTGGGAAAGCCTGAGGATGGGGAGAACGAGTGCATGGGCTACTGCGTTACTTCGTTAGAAAGCGGCGGGACCCTGTGTCTCTTGCAGGAAGAGTTCAAGATCTGGGCAACTCACAACAAGCTGGACAGCAATGTTACAAAGAACAACTACACTTGCAATATGACCTCAGGGACATGGTATGTGCGGCATCACAACTGCAAAGATGTCTATCTTCCACCGACCAAGAAGCATTGTGATGATTGCAAGAGTTTGGGCGAACCTCGTGGTGTGCAGCGCCTGGTGATTCGCTTTATTGCAAAATACCATTGTGCCCATTTACTGAGCAAGCGCCTGTTTTCTCCACAGGAGGAAGCGCAAGATTATGTTGCACAGGTTGCCAGTAGTGCTTATGGGCAGAAGCATGCAGTGCAATGGAAACGTCTGAGTGAATTATCCAACCAGGAGCTTCAGAGCTATGTTCGTAGCAGCTTTGCCTCTATCAGTCCGCAGGAACATACTTCAGCTCTCCAAATGCTCATTCATGCACTTGTTCAGCCCTGCCTCAAAGTCAATCCCACCTGCATCAGCTCCAGGATGGTCTCTCTTTTCTCTGGATTTGTGGAAGCACTGTCCAAACAAAACCTGACCGTACCTTGTCTGTTAATATCTTGTATATGTTGATTGTTTTATAATGTTTTGGTATATATATAGTATCGCTACAAAATCAAAAAGATAAGACTTGATACAGCATGAACTCTCTACAAAATCAAAGATATATAATGAAATATAATGATATATATATATATTATATTTTTGAAAATATATTTTATGTTTTCTTTTTCTATTTGTTTAAATATGTTTGAAGGTTGTTAGTGATGTTAAGCGTTTCCTTTCCTGATTTTGTAGATTTCAAGATCAGGAGCTTGAGCAAATCAACTTGGAGATCATGAAAGCTGCCTCTTCTGGCCGATTAGATGAGAACCCTATAATGCAGGGTCTTGTCGTGCAGTGTATCAGAGCCTTGGACAAACAGGAGAGAGGCGTTTCTTTGGCAGGACGGAAAGCAAACTGCACAGAAACCGAAGCATCTCTGGTCCAGGACGCAGCCATGACATTGGCCATTTGTGGCAACAATCGGGGTTTGGCAGAGAAGCTGGGTCAGTACGCAACAGCTCCCCGAGTATGCCTGGACAGCTTGCATGCCAAAAGTTTGCCGAACCCAGTATTGGCTCTCATGGACGAGGAGCAGATGTCCATGAACACGCAGATCATAGACCAAAAGTTCCCGCGTCCTGAAGAGTCTAGCGCAAAAAGACTCATTGTGGGCATTGACCACACTTATCTCATCCGTGCAATTGTCCAATCCACATGGCAAGACAAGCGAGGCCTTGTAGGAGCTCCATGGAAGCCTGATGAGACCGCCGATGCTTTCATGCCATTGGACGACCTTCCAGGACAGCCAACCAAGAAGCCGAAAGCAAGCATGATGCTGAGCTGTCTTGCATGGAGTCCATTGACTATCCACCGAGAGGCCTATCCACTAGCAAGCATGCCGATGAGCTTGTCAAGAGAGAAGCAGGCAGACGAGACACTGGTCAAGAGTGGCAACATTGCCCCTTGAATGGATGGTGAAATACGATGTTTATGTTTTGATTTTTGTAGACTGTAGCTTATGGGCCATTTTGAGCAGGTTAGATTTTGTAGACTATACTTTATGGGTTCAACACAATGATTGTGATTCTGTAGTAGGACTATTTATTTGTGAAGCGTTGTGTTTTGCAAACATTTCTCAGCTCATTTTCCAAGATGCAGGAGATGCTCAAAGTCGTTGGAACCCTGATGGAACATTGTGGTTGGCTCTGCAAGGGCTTGACCTTCGATGCTCATGAAAGTCATTGTTACTTTCGAGAAGCCCTCATGGGTCACTTTGAACGGCTTGACGTAGCTCTTCTGTCTGACATACCATGGTTCAAAAACATCAAATATGCAGAGCTACCCATGCATCAGCTGCCTCGGTTGCCTGTACGCTTTTGCTTGGACAATGGAGAAGTTATCTGGCCGCTTCCTGGTAGCTGTCCTTTGTGCTTCTATTTGGATATGTTTTTGTTGTTTTATTTTTTTATTTTTATATATTTTTATATATATTCTTATAACTTGTTATATTTTTTAAAAATATACTTATATAAATATCGGAAATTAAAACCTGTTCGATGGTGAAGCATTATTTGCATTCCTCATGGCTTTGTTAGGTCATGCTACAAAGAATTGTGCTGGACAGCTTAATGCTCCTGGCCGCTGTTTGATTTTTGGGCGTTTCTTTTGCGATTCATCTGGCGCACGCAAATATGGGCTTCCGCCCTGTGCATATGCAAGAAAGTGCCCAATGGATGATGGCATGCATGCGGTTCTATGGAACCCTTATTATTGCATTGAATGCCCGGCGCCTTGCAACACAAGGAATTTAGGTTTTGGGAGTTTTTCTTTTTTTTGATTTTGTAGTGTGTAACTCTTTTTGTTTCCTCTCAACATATCATTTTGTAGGTTAAGTTGTTTGATACTTCTGGAAGGGTTTGATTCTGTAGAGATATTAAACGTGTCTTCACAAACAGAGGACGTGTCCAATGACCTGGCCATTGTGCCATGGAACTGCAGGGGCTTTTTGCTGCTGAACCTTTGTGTAGCAATGGCAACCGTATCTTGATCCTTGCTGGGTACCGCTTTGATTCGATTCTTGTGTGTCAGCTCTTTATGTTCCCTCATTGTGTAATTTGTTGAAAGGGATAGATGCTGATCGCCTGAGGCACCCCTGACTCACAAGACCATGGACATTGCTGACAGGGCGCAGAATGCCATGACAGCATTTGTGGCCTTAGACCTATTTAGGTTGTGTGCCGAAGTTGAATGTTCAAGACGTGGCTGGCCAAAAGGCGCGATGTTCTTGTCCCCTCAGACAACACGCAACATTCAAAAAGTTGCTCTCAGCGCAGTTGTGGTGGCAGCAACTTCTGACAGACAGGGTGACCCTTGGCGATTTGGCCATTTGCGTTTGTCTGAGTTGGCAGTGGAAGAGCACTTTGGGGTGCTTCGAATGCAAAGTGCCAGTGCTCAGTTGACAACAAGGTCGTTCTGGGTTGCCGAAGCCCGTGAGATGTTCAGACAGCAGATGCGGCGCAAGAATGGATCAAGGCCAGTAAACCATGAAGCAGGCATTCTCTCACAGTCAGACTTCTTTGATGCCAGTGGCAAGGCATTGCGCTCTGCCCTCCGCTTAGTTGCATTCTGTGCAAATGTGACAGTCACTAGGTTGATTTAGTTGTTGTATGTTTTGTTTATTTTTTCACACTCTTAACTTTTTACATCTTTTTACATATTGATCCTGCGCTTCCACATTTTGATTCCATAGCGTATTGTTGTCAAACTTCTGGACACGGTTGGGTGTGTGTTGACTTGCAAGGTTGAATCCCTCGAGACGATGTACAGGGAGTGGTGTGCAGGTGGCAACTTTACCTCGGATCCTGAGCCCCTTGAACCTGACTTGGATGAGCTGGATGAGGAGGAAGAGGTGATGAATGAATGCCAGGAGCTGCTTACCCACATCAGGGATGAGGCTGGTATGGGTGATGAGCAATTGGAAGAAGAGCCAAATCTACTTGATTTTGCTTTGCGAGATGTTCCTGACGCAAGTGAACTGAAAGAGGCTATGGGGAGTGTGCCCGAGCACCCCCATGCTGAGACGCCAGATGCTGGGAAGAAGGTCAACAACCCAAAGAACCTTCACGCGGCTTTGTGCTTCCTCAATCCCCAGGCCAGTGCGACTGAGGTGTTCGATCAGATCTGGCGTTTGACCATGTCATTGCGGTATTGGAAGGGTGGGCCTGACCGACACTGGGTGAAAAACCCAAGGTCATGTCGCAAGGCATCTTCCAAATTGAACTGGTATCAGCACCTTGGCTGTTTTTTTTTTGTGTTCGTCCAAATGTCCAGATATTGTAGAGAAATCTATATGGATACTCTTATTTGTTGTGATTTTGTAGTGATATGTACAATTGGTTTATGTTAATATATTTTGATTCTGTAGTGACTGCACACTGTTGATAAACAAATTATTTACATGTTATTTCTTTCGATTTTTGTTTCTGTAGTGTTTATGTTTGATTAGTATTGGCAGGGCCTGATTCTGTAAGCAGTTTACCAGGTGGAATGAAAAGAAGCTGAAGGAGATGCGTTTGGAGGAAGATGTTGATGTCTTTCGCCAGCGCACGGGCCGCTTGGAGAAGTGGCGAGAGGCCGCGCAGGCTGCTTTGAAAAAGCAATCTGACGGAGAACTGCCAGATTCAATTGAGAAGCCTGTGCCTGACTAAATGTATTTTGTTTTTTTTATATTTTTGAGTCTCTTTATTTTCCTGGCTTTTTGAAACAGTTTCTTTTCGGTGCCTCAACCTGGGTCATTCAGGATGGGCAACATTGTCATCGCAGTGGTGCCGAAGAAGACACATGGGATCATTGCACGCGTGGC